GGTGGCTCATAATTAAACTTTTATAATGCTGGTCAACATTACCGTTTAAGTTGTATCAGTATCTATTCTTTTTATTTAATCGAAAATATTTTTGAACAATTAATATTTTTTTATTTTTCATTTGAGGGCGTTATTGCCAACAGAATAATGGAAAGCAGTACAATTCATACAGCACCGAATACCTCTGAAGAGAGTTTAAAGATTGCTGGTTCTGCTTCTTCTTTATTTCACGATTCTATACAGAGTCCCTTTGATTCTTTATTTTCACCCGCAAATGATTCCAACCCTACAGCTGATTTAAATATAACGGAATCACATCTCACAACTCAAACCAACGAAACAGAAAGCTCTTACTTTGACAACTCTAAAGCAAATGAGCCTGAAACTGCTACAACACAAGTGTTAACAGATTACTCGTATCATGATTTCCCACAGACTCTTTCAACAGCGCTGCAGCATGAAGCGACCAACGGGACCGTTACAAACACAGAGGTAACACAACAGTATGATGTGGCAGGTTTGAATTTGTATTACGGCGAGCAGTATTCTTCCACGCAAGCGACTGGAAGTACTGAAATAACAGCAGATCCCGCACATTGTGGATATAAACAGGGTATAAATTGAACAACTTTCGCCGAAAATGGTGAATAAGATTGTGGCGGTGGTGTATTAACAACTGTAGATTGATTTGAATCATAGTTTGGATACTGATGGATAGATTGGTGAATTCCAGATATTCCATCGATTGTCGATTGACTAGTACTGTGTCCGGTGTAAGGATAGTTAAAATTACTGGTATTAGTTCCATCGTATTGAGTATATGTATCAGATGAATGTTCTTGGGTGTCAACCGAGGGATATTGAGTATGCTGGTTATTTACATCCTCAATGCCAGCTGCAACTTGAGAAGTTTCATAAGTTTGATATTGGTTGACTGAATCGTTTGTGCTCCATTTTTCATATCCGTAGTCATATGAATAATCTTGCTCAGTAGAATAATAATGATAATTCAAGGATGGATCATTCATAGCTTGGTTAGCTTCAGGTTCAACAGTAGATTCTTCGTGTGTGCTTGAGGATACATGTGCCTCAGAGGTCCCAGATGTTGTATGTCCCAAAACTAAATCATCCAAATCATCCAATTTACCTGTATCTTTGTTTGTATCTTGGTTGGTTACGTCAGCAATTTCCTCTGACTCTTTAGAAGCATCTAATTCCGACGAAATTTGTGAATTATCTGCTATCTGGGATGTAGGTTGGTCTACCTGAGACAATTCTGTCTTTTGGGGACCTTCTAAATCTTGTGGTTGATATTCAAATATATCATTGAACATCACTGGTGTTGCTTTAGTGTTATTCTATAATAAAATTCTTAATACTATTTCTTTGTGTCAAAAATTGTTTGAACTTTCGCTTAACTGTTTCGTAATAACAACTATGCCATTACTAGTATAAAAACATGTCTCATGTTTAT